GCCCCCGCCGCTGGCGCGCCCGCGGGGGCGCGGGCAGCAGCAGCCGGTGCAGCAGCAGCAGTCGGTGCAGACAGTCAGAACCTTTGCCACGACCCAGTCAAACAGTAATGCCTTGTTCTAGATTAGCTTGTCAGGTACAATGTAATTGACTGCGGAGATTTAGAGGAAGATATCAGAGTGCATTATTGATTCACGTGTGAGGGAGGAGTCGGGGGGGGGGACGGGGGGGTGTAGTTTATCAATGCCTCCACAGACAGCCTGGGAATGGGAGACTTTTTTAATAAACCTCTCCAGGGACAGAGGTGAGGATTAAAGGGCAGCGTCCGGTCGGTTGTTTTAACATTTATGACTGTAGTTTATCTCTGCTGACACACTCTTATGGAGCATGGAGTTACATTATAAAAAAGTACTCTCCTACATTTAAAAGAGGAGAAGATGTTCTTGGCTGATTAAAGTTAATGGACGCCTCACGACAGACTCACGCTGCTGTTCACCTCTGATTTATTTTCTCACTCAAAAACATGGAACAATAACCCACCTGTTTGGCCTGGAGAATGTGTCCATTCGTTTCTCAGCATCACACGCCACTCCATTCAGACTCACACCTACAGTGTCCACCTGACGTTGTTCTGGACGGAGGTGATCCTCGTGGTCTTAGGCAGGAACTTTCAGTTGAATCTAGAAAACACTGCACACGTTCTACCAGAGATACCAGACCATTCAGGTTGAGTTGAAATATTCAGTGGTCATATCAATATAATGACAAAGTAGGTTCAGGTGTTTTAAGACTCAGTGTTGGCCTGGACCTCGTCACCAGGTACCAGCTCTGGTCCACACACACACACACACACACACACACACACACACACACTGGTTTGGCACAGGTTCCTTGTCCAAACGTAATCAGAGGTGGAATTTTGAGCTGAGTGGTATTGAACGTGGAACCTTTTGGAACTTAAGCTGCTTAAGCCCTTGTGGGAAAAATCACTTCTGGCTGCCCTTATCATTGGTCACCAATTAGTCCACGAAGGTTTCAGGCATCAGGAAGACAACTGGGAAAAACAGAACTGTCTGCATTGGAGGCAACAGATGAATACACTGCACCACCTGGACGCCCTCCCTGTGTGTACGGTCTATTGGACATTTATTCATTTAGAAGTTGTTCCAAACTTCAGCACGATGTTCCATCCATATCTCACTGCAGTTGGTAAATGATGTTTCCAGTTCTATGACGTGTCATCCTCTCATTGGCCGCTTCGTTAGGTTCTGACTGACGTGTGTTCATGTAGATCTGCCTTCAGACTAAAAAGAAGAACTCTATCCAGCAGCATGGAATGTTCCGACTGATTTAACAGAGTCTGTCTGAAGGTTTCAGTTTTTACTCTTTGATTGAACAGCAGCACAAACAAAGCTGCCAGTTTTCTGGATCATGGAATATCAGACAGAAGCAGACGTTTGGATTCCTGCCACAGACTGATCAAACATGCCCTCCTCTGTTTTAGTCATTGCTCTTTTTTTTTGTTTACGTTGTTCCTTGTTTGTTTGTGCAGCCTTTTATATCCTGTTCCAACATTTAGTCTGTCCATGTTCCAGTGGACAGTTCACTGCTCTGAGAGACACGTTTTAATACGACTTAGAGTTCATTTACCTGGACGTAGGTGCATCTGGAGTCACTCAACCAGAAATGGAAACTTCTCTTTTGAAGTTGGTTTCCCATTGGAGATTGCCTCTCAATAGTTTTAACAGATTATAATCTCATGAATAAAGACAACTTCATCAAAGGCAGCTGATGAGGACTTAGAGGGTTAGACTTAGAGCTAGTGACAGGTTACAGTAATGGTAACAAGTAGACGTTCAGTACAGGGTCCTGGGTCCAGGTGATCCATGTCCTGGGTCCAGGTGATCCATGTCCTGGGTCCAGGTGATCCATTTCCTTTGGTCCAGGTGATCCATGTCCTCAGGTGATCCATGTCCTCCTTTGGTCCAGGTGATCCATGTCCTTTGGTCCAGGTGATCCATGTCCTTTGGTCCAGGTGATCCATGTCCACGGCTGTTATTTTGTTGTTTCTGATAGTTTTGTGTTTTAGTTCATTCTTGTTCTTGCTGGCCTTGTCTTTGGCTCTGCTGCCGTCTTTGTTGGACCCAACAGTAAGACAGATACTCTGCTGCCCAGCTGAAGTATTTACTGCCTCTCTGTACGCACTTTGCCACAGGAATATAAATCAGCCACCTAGAACAGACGGCTCCAGGCTGCTGTGAGGATGTGGCTGTTTGCAGCAGTGATTGTCCCTGACACCTTCCATCAACTCCTCATTTTCATGCCATTGTTCTCTGTCTTCTGTCTTCAGTGCCTCTTACGCCCCGCTGTGTCCCGCTGTGTTGTTGATGCAACAGCGCTGCCCTGGAGCAGTGTTTGTAGAGCGCTGCAGCGAGAGACCTTGGGTCTCAGCTCAGGAGCCACATACACAACCTTCTCTCTAAGAATAAAAATAATGTGGAGTTCACGACAACAGAAGCAGCAGGAGATGAAAACTCTGAATCCTGGGAATGGTTGGAACTCCAGTCTGAGCTGAACCTGCAGCCCTTCTGTTCTCTGTGGTGATGCTTGACCTCCATCTGAAGGGAGGCCTGTGATATTAAAGTTTCAGTCTGTAAAAACTGGCCTGAACTCTTACTGTTAATAAAGTAACAACTCACTCGTCAGAAACACACACAGGTTTAATAACAGAGGGGACGGAGAGGACGATATGAAGGTGCAAACACTTCTCCCCAACAGGTTCTCAAACCTCTGAGGAAATGGGTCAGGTCCAAGGAAATACTGACAGGAAGTCTCTGTGTCGCCGTGAACTCTGCTGCTGATCCATCTGAGACGGTCCAATCACTGAGACACACAGTACTGTGTACTACACAGTACTGTGTAGTACACACAGTACAGCCTGGGTTCTGTGTTTCGTTTCTCCGTCTGTTCTGTTGCTCAGGTGTTTTTCATAACCGTTCCTGGTCGTGTTGTTCCTGCGTGTGGCGCTGTGTTATTGTTTTATCAGGATTTTAATGAATGTTTGTTTTATCTTCCAGCTTCAGATCAACTGGGACTGACAGCATGAAAACAACATGAAATATTTAAACACCGTAAGAAAGACAGACAGGAATCTGAAATATGTTTATTGTTAATCCTAAATGATTGGATTAACATTCATCATGAATTCTGTGGAACCTCATAATATTCACGATAATTACAGAGCAAAGTTTTATTGTACGTCACTGACATGAAATATTCCCAGGTAAATGTGAGATATTTGGCAGATGATGACATTTATAATTGGTAAAAAATAAAGACGCTGTAATACTTCTTCAATACTTTTGACAGTATTCATTATTAAGACTGAGTTGTTATTCAGGAGTGGGTTTTGGTGTTGGATCACGTGGTTGGTTTATTAGGGCTGCAGGTGTAACTGACGCAGTTCATCACAAACGTTATCTCCACTCTTTATGTTTGTTCTTCGTTTACAGTTAAATAAAAAGTGATTGATCTACCGCTGTAGACGTGACTGTGCCACGTGTTCTTCTTCTACCACTTTATTCATCAAACATGGAGAAGACGTAAATGAGCAAAACCCTGAGAAATCCCTGAAGGTCCTCTGTGGCAGTCATCGCCAATTCAAGTCCAAATGACTAACAGTTGACAAACAAATGTCAGCGACGTAGCGGTGCTGGTTAAAAGCTACGTCACTGCAGCCCACGCCTCTCTGACCGCCGCTGTGCACTTCCAGCTTCCTTCGAGTTGACCAATCGATGCGGTCGGATACAGGCGACGAGGAGGCAGCGCCTTCAGGGGGGGGGGGGGGGGGGCGCCCCTGGGGGGGGGGGCGTTCTCACACGAATCACACGGTCGCTGATCAATACTCGTGGTGGATTTCACCTCCACCGAGGCGTTCGCCTCCACATGGTCCTAGATTCATTGGTCTGTAAAGACAGTTTCACCCACAGGAGGGTTGTTGTTTATTTTATTACCACATCAAGGTGAGAGACAAACCTAGTGATTGATTGATTGATATCTTCAGAGAGTCTGATCAATAAATCCAGTCTCACCCCCCGAGTGGAGCTCAACTATCACACGTTACATTTTCCAGCTTCACCTTTTTTGTCTCTAGTCAGAAAACGACACCAGAAACACAGAGTTAACTCTGATTTGTTCTCCAGCCTCGGGTTTAAACCATCAAACTTTCCAACTTCTTCTGGACTCGTTAAGAAATAAGAAATGTTTGATTAGAGCTCAGGTGTTTGTAGACCGTCCTCATCCACTCATGGTCTCCTAAGATGTTGTTTTCAGATGGACAGGTGCTGGTGGCTGTGAGACACCTGTGTAATGACTGGTGTTTGTGATTGTGTTCTGACAGACTCAGGTGTCGGTTGTTGGTGGTTGGAGTGAAGCTTTATGTCTTTATTATAATTATGGCTGAACAGAACTTTGTCCTGTCCTTGTCTCCAGTATGAATGTGCCGCAGTCTTGAATCTCTAATGTCTCTGAGACCTTTAACCTGTAAATGAAACTCTGGGCTGAAAAACCTTTATGTTTTTACTCTTGTTTTTCTCCTGCAAAGCAGAAAAAAAACGTTCTCACAATCCAATAGTGTTTTTTTATTTGTCCATTGTTGAAGACAAGGCAGGGAGAGCTGATTCTGCTCCACATCAGACGCTCAGCTGAGGATCATCAGGTTAAAGGTTAAAGGTCACACTTTAGGTCACACCAGTGTGTTTACTGAATGTTGAAAAGATGAAGCCGTCGTTTCAGTTCGACTTGTTTCTGTTGTCACTGAGAGTGTGCTGAGCTGAAAGTCTTTACTAATAAAACATCACAGACGTAGGTCTACTGACACAGAGTTGTTTCTTCATCCCTGGAATGTTCTCCAGATTAGATCTCCTTATAGGCCAACACTCTGTGGACTCTCACTCTCAGGTTATTTTTGTTTGCCTGAGTAACTTTTTTCATGAATTTTTCATGCTCAGCTGCTTTATAATAAAATCAGTCTATATTTATTTATTTATTTGTTTTATTTCTTCAACACCTATGAGGCAGTTACTGGGAATTAGCATTTTTAATCAGCGTCCGTGCACCATGGCTTTTGTGGTTTTTGAAACGTTGTAGAACTGAATCCTCGTGTCCCGGGGAGACCCTGACAGAAGAACAGAACTGAGGAGGAGGAGGAGGAAGAGGAGGAGGAGGAGGAAGAGGAGGAGGAGGAAGAGGAGGAAGAGGAGGAGGAGGAAGAGGAGGAGGAGGAAGAGGAGGAGGAGGAAGAGGAGGAAGAGGAGGAGGAGGAAGAGGAGGAGGAGGAGGAGGTGGAGGAGGAGGAGGAACACAAATGATTCAACTCTCCTCACAGGTCCCTGACGACTACCATGTGTTTTGTGTTTTAGTCTGGCATCAAACGGTTTCTAAATTGTTCCTGTGCTTCAACAAAACTGTACCACAGGCTGCACTTCAGCTGCCGACTCTGTGGGGCAGAAGTCAAACAGACTGATGCTGAGAGGGGCAACAAGAGTGGTCGGTTCTACTGCAGCTGTTGGAGGTTCCTCAACAGTAGACCGTGACCTGGAGAAGGTGTTCACAGTCTGTAGTTTCTGTCAGTGGTTTCATGGTGAAATGATCAGGTCCACATCTACACAGTGACCTCCTGACCTTCAGTCTGTTCATCTAGATTCTGGGTGGTCTGTGTCTGGGGTCAAATGGGGGTGGTCTCTGTTCCATATACGCTTTAGGACGACAGAACATTTCCTTGTCCTTCCTCCCTTCATACCCCCCTCCTTCATACCCCCCTCCTTCTTACCCCCCTCCTTCTTACCCCCCTCCTTCATACTCTTACTTCACACACCTGGACTGGTTCTTCATCATTAGTTAAAGTTCTCATCGTCATCACAGCTGCAGCAGCTTCGTTGTTGTCCTTGAAGACAGTTCAGCACCAGGTCACGGGCCGAACCCACCAGTCGTTCACCGTCTGCTCCGTCACGTTGTCTTTAATTGATGCCTTTAATTGATGTCTTTGATTGATGCCTTTGATCATCTGGTTGTTTGTGGCTCTGCTTTGAAAACACACCAGGCTTTTACCTAGAATCTCCAGTCAGCGCCACCTAGTGTTCAATCATCTTGAGCTCCAGCATCTTATAGAAATCCAAACCAATCTAATCTTGAAGAAATCCTCCTGAAACACAATTCCTTTGTTTATGTTTTGGACTGAACTGGAAGCACGTCTGTGATTGGTGTAAAGACCGGAGGAGCAGGTTAAACAAAGACCACCAGGAGGTCTGCGTCGGCTGTAACTGCCTGATGGTGTCCTTGCTATATGGGGCGTTTGACAGAGCTACGATAAAGGAGAG